CTGATTGAACAGTAGCACATCCGGGAGTATTGCGCCTGCTTCCTCCTGAGAGTTTCTCATGCATTGTTTTAGGTGTGCTTAACAGATGTTTCCTTTGAAGCCCAACAAATCAAGGCCAAAAATTTATGAATAACCACACATTTACGATCCACATGCCAATTATTCCGGTGGACAAAGGCCAATACCATTTTTTACCTTTATGGTAGTGGAATATTTGGAAACCAACCTATTGTGTTCAATCAGGCCACCACTGCAGTTGTTACTGGTGCCGATACCTGTGGTTCAGGCACGTAGGCTCTGCTCCTTCTTTTTTCTTTCTTTCTTTCTTTTTTTTTTAAGATTTATTTTATTTATTTGAAAGAGTTATAGAGAGAGGTAGAGACAGAGAGAGAGATCTTCCATCCGCTGGTTCACTCTCCAGATGGCTGCAATGGTTGGAGCTGTGCCAATCTGAAGCCAGGAACCAAGAGCTTCCTCCAGGTCTCCCAGGTGGGTGCAGGGGCCCAAGGACTTGGGCCATCCTCTACTGCTTTTCCAGACCACAGCAGAGAGCTGGATTAGAAGAGGAGCATCCGGGACTAGAACCGGCACCCATATGGGATGCTGGCACTTCAGGCCAGGGCGTTAACCCACTGTGCCACAGCACCGGCCCCTCCTTCTTGTTTCTGTCATTGAACTTTGCCAAGTGTTTCTGTTGTACCGTAGCTCATCCCAACAGCGACACATGTATCATCTAACCATTTTACAATGAGAATTTCATTATTTGTGCCAAATCTGTAATCACAGAACCTCTTGCTTGTTTTTTCATCAGTGCTGTTGGTTTCAGAGGATAGGTGTTCAGTCTGTTTCTCCTCAGGGTGCCTGTAGCCTGGAATCCAATACTTTGCAGGTGTACCAACAAGTCATAACGAGTGAATAGACTGTTGGAAGAAACAAACCAGAGTGTTGTGTGGATTCCCTACCTCTTCAGGCATTTGTAGAATGCCCTGACTCCCAAGCAAAAGGTCATTGTTAGGTCCTTCTTGAGCGCTTCCTCCACAATACAAGTTATAGCAACGTCCCGATACTCCACACTGTGTCTGGTATTTATAACCAAATGTTAAAGGCTTCCGTCTTATAAGTTGTTTCTGTGAGCTTTGTCTTTAGTATTCTATAATAGTTTCATGCACTAACATGCTTCAGAGATACCAAATGCTGTGCATGACTTTGGAATCATTTATTAGACAGCAAATTTTTGTTAAAGATTTTTATTTATTTATTTGAGAGGCAGAGTGACAGACAGAGAGAGGGAGAGACAGAGAGAAAGGGCTTCCAACTGGTGGTTCACTCCCCAGATGGCTTCAGTGACTGGAGCTGGGTTGATCCGAAGCCAGGAACCAGGAGCCAGGAGCTTCTTCTGGGTCTCCCATGTAGGTGCAGGGGCCCAAGCACTTGGGCCATATTCCACTGCTTTCCCAGGCCATCAGCAGAGAGCTGGATTGGAAGTGGAGTAGCCAGGTCTAGAATTGGCTCCCATATGGGATGCTGGTGCTGCAGGCAGAGGCTTAGCTTACTACATCACAGCGCCAGCCCTTGGCAAATTTTAAAACCTTTTTTTTTTTTTTTAATTTGACAGATAGGGTTAGACAGTGAGAGAGAAAGAGACAGAGAGAAAGGTCTTCCTTCCGTTGGTTCACCCCTCAAATGGCTGCTACGGCCGTTGCACTGCGCCGCACTGCGTCGATCGAAAGCCAGGAGCCGGGTGCTTCTTCTGGATCTCCCATGTGGATGCAGGAGCCCAAGCACTTGGGCCATCCTCCACTGCCTTCCCGGGCCACAGCAGAGAGCTGGACTGGAAGAGGAGCAACCGGGACTAGAACCAGGTGCCCATATGGGATGTCGGCACTGAAGGCGGAGGATTAACCTAGTGAGCCACGGCGCCGACCCAAAACCTTTTTTTTCAATATTCCCTTGCCATTCATTGTTGCTGCAAAAATGTATGATACTTTTCAGCTCCTGGATATTAACTCTTGACTTTGCATTTTTGATGATGGATACACACTCATCATTTGACCAGTAGTTTCTTATGGAGGGTAGATTATGATAATCTGACAACCTAAAAATTCCAAAAATGTTTTAAACTCATCTACACTAGGTACTTCAAGTTGATTCTCACTTTCTGCAGAACAACATAGTTTCTTTAACAACATGACCCCCCTTCTTACCTAACAATGTCAGCCCTGTGTCCTGTCTGCCCTGAGAATGGGTAGGTGCATCTATGGCAGTAACGCCAAAGTCTTCACTCTCGTCAGTACTCGCTTGCTCTGCGCGAGGTCAGATGTCTCGAGAGGACCTGAAACATCTTTCACCCCTTTCATCACCAGCAGCTACATCATTATGCTTTATTTATGTCTAGTGGGATTATTATTATGTCAGCTGCTTCAATATTCTCATTTTTCAGAAAATTCCCTCAATGGTTTCTTGATTTCTTCAAGTGCTCAAATATATCTTCTTGACATTTGCAGCAAGAAAAATAAAGCATGATAATCTAATGATTGATAAAACGTATTAAAGGGTGTTCATTCAATTGTGTATACATTTTCCTATGCGTTTCTAGCATAATACGATTGAACACTATACGTTATGGTCATAGCTGTTTAGATGAAATGCCTCATTACTACCCTCCATAGGTCTGTTCCACAGGCTCATCTGCTCTGGATGAATGCTAATGGCACCGTCAAGAGTGCAAGAACTGTTTAGGAAAAGTACGAAACACAGACCGCACCTCGCCCCCATGCAAGCAGCAAGACGTCAGAGTTCATCGGGCAGCGGTGGTGCCCCCGCACGCCGCTACGCCGGAGCGCGTTGTCCCAATGTCCTTTGCGCAGAACAGCCGTTTTCAGTCATTCCAGTCCAAATTTAGCACATTCCTTGGAAAGAAAATGTTCTAGAAAATACTTTCATGAACGCCTTTCTTACGTTTCATATCAGTTGTACGCACGATCTTGTGTTCCATTGAACATTTCATAAAAATAACATTGTGGTAAGGTTCATGCCATTTCCACAATGAATTTAAGAAGCTTTCAGATGCTTGAATCATTCACCTATTACTTTTCTCAAAAGAAGAGAACTCAAAAACCCAGAATTTTTATTTCAAAGCTACTGTAAGTGGTATATTTGTTGCTCAATTTATGTTTTTATAGGTCCAGGGCCCTTTACCTGAGAGTCTTCAGTGTCTCTGGAGCCCTGTGCAAGCCACCTCACTTCCCTGGGAGTAAGGGAAGGGTTAATTCTCAGAGTCTTCCTAGGGCTGGTTAATGCACCTTTCTTAATTAGGAGAGGAGCAGGGCCTCCAGGCCTCTCTGAGAGGTGAGTGTGAGCTGTAGTGAGGGAAGGAGGGAGGGAGGAGAGCATCCCTCCCCCAGTTTTGCTAACCGTCGAGAGCTCAATCTCAGGTTCAGACCCACTATGGGACATTTCCAGGACAGGAAATCCGAGGCGAGGAGGACCGAAGGGGACGCACCTGCTCTTTGGGGCTGGGAACCCGGCTTTCTTGAAAAGCTCTGGAACCACAGCGTGTTTCAAGAAAGGGTGCTGTAGACTGGAGTTGGTTAGGGCCGGCAGGGAGTCCCTTGGTGTCCTGAGAGCAGCTGTTGGGTCTGTGTTTTCAGCCCGGCTTCTGGGCAGGCCCCTGAGAAAGCCTGGAGAGTAAGTGGTTGGTGTCCCCAGGCTTCGGTTCTGTTTTCTTTTTTTCTTTGGAAATACCAAAGTAATTCCATTCTAGGGAGGCTGTTCTTGGCACACAGGCACTTAACTGCTTACTTGTTTATGATCAAGGCTATTAAAAGGCTGCAGGTGCAGAGGTGCCCAGGGCAGGGCCTGTGGGGAGGGGTCTGGAGCTCCCTCCTCCTCTCTGGGCGTGCCACTGGGTCACACGTCAGCCACCCTCAACTGTGCATTTGTCAGAATCAAGTTCATGCTCCTCAGATGGTGAGTGAGGGCTCCGGCCATGCGGGCTCAGCCTCTCTCAGGGCCTGCCCCTTGTGCCTGTGCCTGAGGTTGGAGGAATTGCTGCCACTCCCCGTGAATACAATGTTCCCACCCCATTGGCCCCAATGGGAAGGTCTCTGCTTCTCCTCGCTATTTCCAGAATTCCTGTGTATTCAGGTTTTTTATTTTTTAAGATTTATTTATTTGAAAGAGTTACATAGAGAAGGAGAGGCAGAGAGAGAGAGAGAGAGAGAGATCTGGTATCTGCTGGTTCACTTCCCAAATGGCTGCAACGGGGAGCTGAGCCTATCTGAATCCAGGAGCCAGGAGCTTCTTCCTGGTCTCCCATGCGGGTGCAGGGGCCCAAGGACTTGGGCCATCCTCTACTGCTTTCCCAGGCCATAGCAGAGAGCTGGATCAGAAGTGGAGCAGCTGGGACTCGAACGGGCGCCCTTATGGGATGCGGGCACTATAGCCGGCAGCCTTACCCGTTACGCCACAGCGCCGGCCCCCTAGTATTTTCTTAGTAGGACATATGGGCACAAACATCTAAGTACACAAATGCTTTATTTGAGTCACCCTGAAACCCTGAAAGCTAAATTATTTGTTTTCCTTGCTTCACAGCATGCTGGTTTCATCTAAAAAAAAAAAAAACATTTTTGCCTCAGATGTTGAGAAAGACAGATTTTATGGATACTGAAACAGGCCGGCTGGCCTTGCGTCTTCTGAGCCCCCTGGCCAAGGTCTGGAGAGCCACTAGAGATATTTTAGCAAAGTGTGTAGAGCTGGGGCAGAGGAGGCACTGCAGAACTTCGGGATGTCACACATTTTCGGGACAATGAGGATGTTTCTTGGGGAAGAGGCAGTGGCGTGGAGCACTTTGCTTCTTCCTGACCAACTGCAAGTGATCAAAGTCCCGCTCTGGTGGCCCAGGGACAGACACGCCTCTTTTGTAGCGTTTTCTTCGTTACAGGAGTTCCAGCCTCGGCCTCTTTCTTCACCCAGCGGGGGAGCAGGGCGAGGAGGAGCCCCTCCTGCTAACTGGAAGGAATCAGGGCGTTGCTGGGCACTGAGCCAGGGACCTGAACTCTGCGGAGCAGTGGATCCGAGCTGGGCTGGCCGCCAGCTCTCAGAGTGCCTGGCTACCTTTGGAGAGGTTCTCCTGCGGCCACAACGGGAGGTTTGTTCCACTGCTGCTGCCCCGATTCCTCGCCTGCTCTCTGCATTGTGCTCCTCAGCTCCCTGTAACTCTACCTCTCACCACATTCTGCACTTGGCTGTGGGCTCCAAAACCCCAGGCTCTCCCTCTCCATCCTCCGGAGCTGCATGAAGTTGAAAGGCAACCGAGAAGATCAAGTTTGCCTTCATCTTTTTTTTTTTTTTCTCAGGCTTCTGGGGCTATGTCCTATGTACAAGAAAGGCTGTCTCCCCTCCTCATCACCATTTTAAAGGTCCCCAGCGTTCTGAGTGTAGGTTGTTTGGTGTCATCTTTGACGAAGGCGGCAGGCACTCTGTTTTCAGATGGGCCCATCACAGGGCGTTCTTGCTGGCGCACTGGCTCGCAGCTGATCTCCATCGGGGGGTGGCCCCTGGGGTTCTCAGTTCTAACAATGAATTTTTGTTCTTGGCCATCTGCTTTTGCTCCAAGCCCAAGTCATCTTTCCCCTGTGCTCCTCCCCCCCGACCCTGCCCCTTCGCTTCTGTAACTTTCATTCTCTTTTGGTGCCATCTTCTTTATGTTTTATTTTCCTACTCCGCCTGCTCCCTGCTTCCCCTCCGGGCAGCCCTCTGGGTCCCAGGGCTCAGCGGGAGAGTGCATGAATCACTGCAGAGTGTTTAAAGGCTAATCCAGGGAGAAGGGCAATGCCTTCTCAGTTCAGAACATTGCTGGTCAAGCCACCCTCTTAACAACGGGTGTAGTCTCCACCCGGCTCCCTTAGTCTGCAACAAGGACCCACCCTCTTTCCCAGCTAGGAGGCTGCTTGTCTCCTTGAATTCCCCAGACAGAGGGCCCCCCTGACCAAGGCAGGGGAAATCTGATGCAGGAAAAGCTACTATGAAAATCTCTTCCTTGGGCATCCTCTCCCTAGGTGTCATTGTGTGGGAAGAGCACTTGACTTAAGAGCCAGGAGAGCTCTGGTTTCGCCATCTATCTGCTGCGCCCCTCTGGGGGGCGATCACTCGCCCTCCCTGCGCTCAGATCAAATGGGAACACTTCACTGGGGGTGCTGGGGAAGTGAAGTCCTCAGCCAAAAATCCTGTTGTGACTTGTACTGAGCCGGCAGGTGAATGAGCAGGAAGGGGTGGGGTGGGGGTAGGTGGGAGGGGTGGCGTCCTGGTTCTTTAAATCCTGCAGAGGTCAGGATCCTTAAACAATGAGGTTTGATTTGGTCAGTTTATTTTCAGCTGAGTCTCAGGGAAAGCTACCGGTCAGACCGGTGCAGAAATCCCAGAGCTTACGTTGTTGGGCTAAAATGGAGGGGAGCAGTGGAAGGAGCTTGGGACCACAGAGGCTCCTAAGGAATTCTGACAGCAGAGTCAAGCGGCTCCAACCCCGGGCTAAAAGGGCCCCCGGGCAATGCTCTGGGAAGTGCAGGTGGTTTCAACATTCACTTCCCAGACAAGCCTAAAGCCTCCTTTAAGACAGGGTGTGTGTGTGGGCCAAACCTGAAGCAGCCTGGGACATTTCAATCTGGCACCACCTCCTCTGGCTGTTTCCGAGGCCATTCAGAGGCCACAGCCCAGTCAGACGAGCTGAGAAGCTGAGAGAGAGAGGAGCTGCAGGGTTTGGGTGCTCGCGGTGCGGAGGGTGAGAGGGGGGAGGGGAGGAGGGCGCCAGGAGCTTAGGCCCCACCTTTCATTCCAGCCCCGAGCACCGGGCCAGCGGGATGACTCAAGCGAGCTCAAATTCCCATAGGTGAGGAGCTCTCCGGCCGAAAACATTGCCTGCTCCTCCCCGAGCGGCCGCGAGAGTGTCGGCGCCCTCGGTCTGCCCGGGTCTGGTCTCCGGGGCCAGGCCTGGGTTTCCCTCATGTATGGCACGAGCCCCACGCGCGTGTTTCTGCTGCTCCTTGGCTTACAGCTCGCAGGTAAGAGCCGTGGGCTTTGCTCAGCGTTTCTTCCCTCCACCCTAGCCCATTAAGTGAACTCATTGCCTGAGAAGTCGAGAGAGTTTTGTTTGGGAGCTTGGGCCACAGGTGCAGTTCGTCTTAGCTGGGACTTTACTGAAGCCGAAGGCGGTGGGCTGTTTTGGGGGAGCTACTTTGGGAAAAACAGGTTTAGGTGTGTTCCTGCACAGAGGATGGCTTTCTGATCTCAGGTTACACACCATTTTGTGTGTGTGTGTGTGTGTGTGTGTGTGGCCATTCTCAGCTTCTCCCTGCTGGCAGGACTCAACACGACTTTGGCACTTGGATTTCTAGGGGTGGGTCTCCTCTGGGCCTCTTGGGGCACTTGGAAAGTTGATTGTTAAAGAGAGAGGAAGGGACCCGCTGTGGTTTTTTTGGAGCTGCCCCAACGCACACATTCTAAATGTAAATATAGTGGCCAGAGCGCCACGCGGGCGGCAGGTCCTGGGGTACAGCCGAGCTTCAGCGGTCTGGAGCTGACCAGTCCCGTTTCCGCAGCGTGAAGTCCACATAACAAGGACCCTTTCTGGACACCGACCTGCTGCATGCCGTCTTACCTACCATACAGAACGTGGCTAATCAGGGTTAACGATTTGCGCTTTATTTTTTTTTTTGGGCAGCGTTGGCAGCTTGCTGTACCAGTTTAAGTTGGTACCATGACACTGGGGCTGGGTGGTATTTTTAATCGTGGGGTGGAATGGGAAAGTGAAGGCAGATACAGGCAGGAGGATGCAGACTGAAAAGTTGGCGGGAGTTGCTGGCAGTGCCTCTGGGTGAAGTAAGAATGAGATGTCCTTCCTGGAAGTTTCTTTTCCAAGTGTCAGCTCCATCCCTTTTAACCCTTCCTTTCCCTTCACTGCAGCTCACGGGCCCGCAGCAGCTGTGGAAATTTACACCTCCCGGGTGCTGGAGGCTGTTAACGGGACAGATGCTCGTTTAAAATGCACTTTCTCCAGCTTTGCTCCCGTGGGCGATGCCCTCACGGTGACCTGGAATTTTCGTCCTCAAGATGGAGGGCCGGAGCAGTTTGTGAGTAGATTGTTGTCATTTTCCTGGGACCCTTGTGAAGAAAGTGACAAGCCAGCCGGCTTCGCTTGCCTTTCCTGTGCTTTCCGAAGCAACAGGCACAGGGTTAAGCAGGGAAACAATTGTTGGCGCAGAGAGCTAGAGAGAGAGGCCGGGAAGGGGCAGCAGGAGATCCGCTGGCAGGGCGGTGCCTGCGCTGTTGTGTTCCTTCCGTTCCCACCATCTCAGCCTCCTTGCCTTGCTGGAGAAGCAAGACCCTATGCCATCTCTCCCCGCTAGGTATTCTACTACCATATGGATCCCTTCAAACCCACGAGTGGGCGGTTCAAGGACCGGGTGGCCTGGGACGGGAACCTTGAGCGGTACGATGTCTCCATCCTGCTCTGGAAGCTGCAGTTCGACGACAACGGGACGTACACCTGCCAGGTGAAGAACCCACCCGATGTTGACGGGCTGATAGGGGAGATCCGGCTCAGCGTGGTGCACACTGGTAGGTTACGCAGGGACAGAGGTTCTGGGAAGTGTGAGAGCTGCTAGGGCGGAGAGGGGCAGTGTGCTGTGAAGGCTGAAACGGTAGAGAGAGCGCCCAGTGCTTGGAGCTGGGGACGTCCCAGGGTGACTGAACAGCCTCGGGGTGAAAAGAGAAAGGCTTTGTCCAGTTGCTGTGGAAAGAAACAGAAAGGAAGGAGGATTCCAGGGGCTCTTTTACAAAAATCCATTGAAATCGGGGAAGGCAGAGGAAGCAGTGCCCTGATAAAGGACTCACAATGGGTCTGTTCATTCACTTACTTATTCAAGATACTTACGGAGTACTCGGTCGGAACTGTGGGACAAGTACGATCTCATTTAGTGCTCGCACCACCCTAGGAGGCAGGTCCCAGCAGTGGTAGCCAGCGTTCACTGAGTACTTCCCACAGTTTAACCTTCACGCACCGCGTCTGTTTATTATGCATCCAGTGCCTCCCATTCCTCCCCGTGATGGAAATGAGGCTCCCAGAGGTCAAGTTGCTCGCCCAAAGTCATGTCAGCTGGCCAGTGCCAATGTAAAGGCTTCCCGAAGTGTGAATTGTACTAAGAATTGTCATAACTCCCACACGTTGTTTATTCTGGGCAGGTACAGCATGGAACAACTTACCTGAATTATTTTTGTAAGAACCCAAGGAATAGATATTGTTATCTCTATTCCTGAGAAAGCTGAGGCTCAAAGAAGTTAGTTACTCCAAATCCTACATCTAGTAAATGGTACAGCTGGTATCTTTACCTAGCTCTGAGTGTATGCTCTTAACCAACACACAGTATTTTTCAAAGAAGATTTATTTATTTATGAGGCAGAGTTACAGAGAGGCAGAGAGGGAGAGAGAGAGAGGGGTCTTCCATCCACTGGTTCACTCCCCAGATGGCTGCAATGGCCAGAGCTGTGCCAATCCGAAGCCAGGAGCTTCCTCTGGGTTTCCCACGTGGGTGCAGGGGCCCAAGGACTTGGGCCATCCTCTTTTGCTTTCCCAGGCCATAGCAGAGACCTGGATTGGAAGTGGAGCAGCTGGGACTCAAACCAGGCCCACATGGGATGCCAGCACTGCAGGCAGCAGCCTTACCCGCTATGCCACAGCATCCACCCCACCAACATATAGTCTTACTACCTTCAGTGTATAAGCCTGCAAAGTGCTGAGCATTCCTCCTTTAATTCCTATCAACAGTTTATGGTTTTATTTATTTTTAAATTACTTTTCTTTTGAGAATTAGACAGACAGAAGGGGAGAGACAGCAATGTTCCACTGGTTCACTCCTCAAAAGCCTGAAAGAGCCAGGGCTGGAACTGCGAGTCAGGAACACAACCTGTGTCCCCCACAGGGGTGGTAGAGACCCAGTCACTTGAGCTGTCACTGCTGCCTCCCAGGGTCTGCATTAGCAGGAGGCTGGAGTCAGGCGCGGAGCTGCATAGTGAACCCCGGTGCTCCACTGTGGAATGTGGGCATCTTAACCGCTTGGCCCAATGCCCACCCTGTGGAGTTTACAGCCATCCCTCAAGGCCCTCCCAGCAGAGAGCTGGTGACCTTGGAGCATTGCCAGAAGTATTCATGCCTTCGGATCTCAGTTTCTTCACCCACAAAATGAACGAGCTGAGCAAGAAAGCAGGGGTTCTCCAATATATCAGGGTCGCTGCTCTCTGATAATCTAATGAAAGCTATGGGCCAGTTCCCACAGAGATGGAGACACACACACGTGATACGGATTTTGTGGGCTTGTGGGCCTCTCCTTTCCTCCACCCTTCATCAGCTCTAGGCTGGAAACTCCTGGGGCTAGGCATTCTTTAAGGTCCTTTTTGGCTCTGGGCACTTTATTGAGAAATCAAGATAAAGGACAGAGGCCGGCGCCGCGGCTCACTAGGCTACTCCTCCGCCTTGCGGTGCCGGCACACCAGGTTCTAGTCCCGGTCGGGGCGCTGGATTCTGTCCAGTTGCCCCTCTTCCAGGCCAGCTCTCTGCTGTGGCCAGGGAGTGCAGTGGAGGATGGCCCAAGTGCTTGGGCCCTGCACCCCATGGGAGACCAGGATAAGTACCTGGCTCCTGCCATCAGATCAGCGCGGTGTGCTGGCCGCAGCGCGCCGGCCACAGTGGCCATTGGAGGGTGAACCAATGGCAAAGGAAGACCTTTCTGTCTGTCTCTCTCTCACTGTCCACTCCGCCTGTCCAAAAAAAAAAAAAAAAAAAACACAAGATAAAGGACAGGATAACTGGGCCTCAGAGACTCATTACCTCTTTCATCATTTACCCACTGAACTCTAGTTACTGATCCACCACAGTGCCTGGAACACAGTAGGCCCTTAATACATCTAAATAAATAAATGGCTGACAGAGGCGAGCAGATGAGCAGACGGAGTCGGGGAGAAGTGGGTTGGGCACTAGGCCAGCAAGAACCTTACCCCACCAGGTAGTTGAACCCCTAGTTCTCAGATCTCCAGGGTTCCTTGCAGTTCCCTGGAGGACACATCAAAACACATCACTGAGGCCCCACCCATAGCATTTCTCCTTCTGTAAGTCTGGGGTGGGGCCTGGGAATTTGCATTTCTAAGTTTTTAGTGGCTGTGGCTGCCACTCCTAGGACCACACTTGGGGAAGTAGACTTTCCCGGTGCTCCTGGGCTTCCGAGGTGATGTGGTGTTTTATACATAAAGGTAGGGGGAAGGAAGGCCCTGCTTCAGGAAGAAATGCATTGCTACTACGTCTTTAGATTTCATCACAGTCATCTTAGGAGCCTAACTTGGTCACCGCATGTGTTTCTCTCCAAAGCGCGCTTCTCTGAGATCTACTTCCTGGCGCTCGCCATTGGCTCTGCCTGTGCGCTGATGGTCATCATAGTCATTGGGGTGGTCCTCTTCCAGCATTTCCGGAAAAAGCGATGGGCCGAAGAAGCTCATAAAGTGGTGGAGATACAATCGTAAGCCTGGGGAGTTTTGGGAAAATCTTCTGACACTCTCTTCCCGTGACTCTTGGTGTTTTGCAAGTGGGCAAAAGAATTGTTAAACAGATGTTTTCTCCTTGGGCAAACTTTGTATGAAATAATTCAAGTTCAGAGGAAGGATAAATTAGGGTGTGAGCAATGACTTTATAAAAGGTTTCTTAATTTTACAGAAGATTTCATCATAGGATTTCTTTACCATGTGAGATTTGATGTTATAAAAATCTGCTTATGTAAAGCTTTTCTAAAATAATCCCTTGCTTTTACAGTGAATCACACATTGGTAAGAACTGCTGGGCTAGACAGGTAGCAGGCTTGCTATGAATCAAGGCTTAGGAAAGTGCTGTGTTGACAGTAGGTGCCCAACAATTATTTTAAAATTGAGAAAAATTTACATACCATAAAATGTACCCTTTTAGTATTCTCAAACTTGTGCAATAATTGTCTGTTTCAGAACCTTTTCAACCCTCCCCCCACAAGAAATTCCATATCCTTTAGTCCCTACATCCTATTCTTCCCTCTCACCAGCCCGTCTATATGGATTTAACTATTGAACTATTGTAGACATTTAGGAACCATAAAATAGGTGGCCCTTTTTTTTTTTTTTTTTTTTTTTTTTTTACATTAAAGATTCAGTCATTTATTTATTTGAAAGGTAGAGTGAGAGAGAGACAGATCTTCCACATCAGCTGGTTCACTCCCCAAATGCTTGCAACAGCCAGGTCTGAGCCAGGAACTCATTGGGTCTCCCATGTGAATGGCTGAAAAGTGCCTAAGTTCAAATACCTGGGGTCGAGAACACCTTCCCTGCAGCTTCCATAGGATTTGCCACCCTTGCTGCTGCTGCTTCTTTTTTTTTTTTTTTTTTTTTTTTTTTTTTTTTTTTTTAGTAAGGGAAAGGGTTTATTGGAGAGAGAGAAGAGCAGAGAGAAGAGATACCCTTGCTTCTTTCTTGTTCACCTGAAAATTGGTTTCTGATTCTTTGTTACAGAAAAGAAGAGGAAAGACTCAACCAAGAAAAAAAGGTCTCTGTTTATTTGGAAGATATAGATTAACATTCCTAGATGGTAAGGTTCACAGACCTCATCCTTCTCTGTCTGGTACATCTCTAATGTGAATATCCCAGTTTACCTTAAATGGCTGTTAGGTGTTTCCTCTATGAAACTAGAGGAGTTCAGTTGGGAGATAAAAGTCTTCTAGTAGTCTTGTGGGTGGCTCCCCTTCGAGCGTATTTTGTGCAAAAGATTAAGAAGCTAGACTTGATTGCCATTAAAACAGAATTCTGCAGTTATTTGAGGGCTTGGGATTATATTTACCATCATCATCATTAGCAATAAACTTTGAACATGGATAAATAAATCTCATTTTTTAAAATGAAAAGATTAGACTTGCTTGTTTGGGTTTTTAAAATTATAAGCAGGTCGGCGCTGTGGCTCAATAGGTGAATCCTCCGCCTTGTGGTACCGGCACACCGGGTTCTAGTCCTGGTCGGGGCGCCGGATTCTGTCCCGGTTGCCCCTCTTCCAGGCCAGCTCTGTGCTGTGGCCAGGGAGTGCAGTGGAGGATGGCCCAGGTGCTTGGGCCCTGCACCCCATGGGAGACCAGGAGAAGCACCTGGCCCCTGCCATCAGATCAGTGTGATGAGCTGGCTGCGGTGGCCATTGGATGGTGAACCAACGGCAAAAGGAAGACCTTTCTCTCTCTGTCTGTCTCTCTCTCTCTCTCTCTCTCTCTCTTTCTCACTGTCCCCTCTGCCTGTCAAAAATTTAAAAAAAAAAAATTATAAGCCAGTTTCTGTACTGTTTGGAAATGTTTTCAATGCCTCTCATTTAGTTATTGGGACTATGAATATAGTTCTAGCTATACATAATTTTGTTTTTTTTTTTGTTTGTTTCCAGATTTATCAGGCTTAAAAAGTAGCATAATATACTTTTCATATGCTCAGAATTTGTTCCATTCTCTAATGTAGGTCCACACATTTAGTTCCTAGATGTAAATCAAGGTGTGCAAGCTTGAATCTTGTACTCATAATAAAATTCTTGACATTTGTAACATCAGCCTGTAAAGATTCTTTTGGCTCTCCTAAATGGGTGGAAACTTTTATAGACTATTATTAGTTGCAAAGAGAATCAACATTTTAATAGCAAAGCTCCAGTGAAAGACCTCAAGAACTTATAAATAGAATACAAAGAAAATGATTGTCTTGTAAAACCAGGAAACTCAAATTTTGGGGGGGGGAGTTTTTGCCAAATGCTGTTGCCTTTTTAAAATCAAGTGGATTCTCTATCAAGCCAAGGTCATAGGAAATACCCAGGAGGTTCATTTTAGATTAAATGGAAGAGATGAACACAATCAAGTGTAACATGAAATCCTTGACTAGAAAATGCTAGTTTGAACAAACTGGTTGAAAAAGTAGTTGGAGGGGTAATTGAGAAAGTCTTAAATATGAAAATTATGACTGTAGATAACATTAGGGAATTAGTATTGGTTTTTATTAGGTATGATAATGATAATGTAGTTATTTAGAAAAAAAAGTCCCTATTTTAAAAATGTATGCTAGAATATTTAGGGAAAAATGTCAGTAATTTGCTTTAAACTTCAGCAATTAAAAAAAAGTAAGATTAACAAATGCTTTAAAATTAGGTAAATTCCATACTCTGTCTTCTCAACTTTTCTGTACCTTTGATTTTTGTTTGTAATGGGGTTGGGAATGATATAGAATGCATGAGTGTGGGCCAGCATCCAAGCATCCATTCAGGGCACTTAGAAGCTAAGAATTAAGGATGCTGATTCCGAGAACTATTAATAAGGAACAAGAAACTTAAAAAAAAAAAATTAAACTAGGGAGTGGTTGCTGCTGTGGCCCAGGTGACACTCATATCCCATAGCCAAGTGCAGGTCCAAGTCTCAGCTATTTTGCTTCCCATCCAAGTTGATCCACCTTCCTGCTATGGAACCTAGGAAGGCAGCAGGTGATGGCCCAAGTACTTGGGAATTGCCATCCATGCAGGTGACTCAGATGGGATTCTGGCTCCTGATCTCTGCTTGGCCCAGTCCTGGCTGTTGCAGGTATCTAGGGAGTAAGCCAGCAAATGGAAGACTGATTTCTCTGTGTCACTCTGCCCTTCAAATAAACCTTAAAAAAAGAGAAAACATACTAGGGAGAGAATAATATTAAAAATATTTTCCTTCAGAATGGAGAAGACATTTAATAATGTATATGTAATGCATAATGCTAGCGACTCATTGCATCTTCCTAAATAAATTATCTGCTTAAATTTTGTTTTAGGTTTTAGGAAGCTGAAGATTTCCAAGAACAAGAACCCTGATAGCCCTTGAAGTTAATGGAAACTTGACTTTGGCTTTTCCCTTGTGACCTGAATTCCAACCAGTTCTTCAGCAAAGACCCGCCTAGATAAGCAACATCCCTCTGGAGCCTGCATAGGGCTCTTCTTGAGCAAACACTGCTAGATTCAGACAGTCTCACTGTGAAGGTTTGACTTGACTTCAGAGTACACATACTGCTCATATCTCATTAGCTCTTGTAAACTGAGAAGCCCCATTTTTGCTCCAAAATACTCCTTAAGGATTATAACATATGTACCCAATGATTAACAGTAAACCCAAAACACAAACTGTCAAACAACATTTGGATTTTTATGGCTCACGGGATACAACCTTTTTATGGAATTTCAGTGTCTCAGGTGACAGGTTTGTTTTGTTTTGTTTTGTTTTTGTCAATCCAAGGCTTACAATATCACAAAGTCTAATTACACAGTAAGTACGAAGCATTACATAATTGATAACAGACTGGCAAAAGCCACCTCAGGATGAATCACTCGTCACCTTTTATTTGTATTGTAAAGAATAATCAACAGCATAGGTCTTTCATGCACAGTGACTGTTTGCCTTACTAGGTTTCCCACCCCAATTTAATGATCTTTAATAGCAGATCAAAGTCTGTGATCACTGGCAAACTGGAATCATTGGGGAGTTTAATAGGAGGATTCTGAAATATTATAACTTTAAAAACAGGGCTGGAGAAAACAAAAACTACTCTAAATGATGATTTTGTATTTTACATAGCTCTGAGAACTGGAAAAGATTATTTATTCTCTTTCTTTATATCAAAACTACTTTAACTGAAGGAAACTGATTTTCTTCTTTGTCCCCTTCGATTGGTAGATAAACCAGTCTTTGTAAGTGGACTATTGAAAGGAGAGTGCCATTTAGAAAGTGTCTAGTTTCCCAGTGTCTTTCCAAACTTAAGCTACAGAAGCATTCATTCAGAGGATAGAAAATATCTAAAATTGTAGGTGCATGAGCCACTTGACAGGTTGGTATTTTTAGTTTTCATTGACTGGGCTGCAGATGTTATTTTTTTTAACAAACTGAAATTTTTAAATAGGATATCTGTATTTCAATATGCTGAGCCTTGATATGTCTTCCAATAATGTTTTAAAAAAATCGATATAATTTACATTTTCTGAAACTTGTTACAGACCTGTCTCATTCTGCTTTTTATACTGTCCAAAAAACTAAAGTTTCAATGCCCTGTTTTGGAACTAAAAGTTAGATTTGAAGTCTGTACTACTTTCAATTCATATTTTATGTTTTTCTTCATAATTCAACCTTTGAAAACATAACTGGATATTTCTTCCAGCAGATGGCTGGATGATGTTCTGTAAGCGTAAAGAAGCAAAAACTCATGGAGAGTCTTTCCAGCAAAAGGTGTAGCTCATGTCTTGTTTAAACAACTCAGTGGGTAGTGTGGCCCTGTTGTTTACTGTCTTCCTAAAGAGTACTTTTGTATTGTAATTTATTTTTTATTATACCTTAAACACTGTGTAAATAAACCTTTAGTAATAAAGAATTATCAATTACATAATTTGCTTATATACAAATCTTTAAAAATGTATATAGCAGATAACAAAAGACAGAAGGGTATACATTTTGGCTTCATTAGAAGTTTTCTTAGTAGAGACAACCTGGAAGTTAACAAGGGATATAATTTGTTTCTACTGAAAAAATGAAAGTATACAGATTTCCACAGAATTGTCACATTGCTATGGACAGCTTGGAATTATGTATAACATAACTTAATTCGGGGAGTCTTTTGAAGTAACATTCTATTTATTCTTGCATTACTCTATAGAGAAAACTACCAGTTTTTAAGTCTAGTGAAGGCGTGGGAGTTGGAAGTTGACTAGTTATTAAATCTTCCCAAAAGCTGAGGCAGACTTTTGTTCTCCACCTGCATTGATTGAACGGGAAATTCCAGGGAACAAGATGACTCATGGCTGAGCCAGAGGGCTGTGCCACCTCCACCTCACGTCACCCCAACCCCTGTGTAACTTGGTGGTTTTTCCAACCAAGAACTGCACTAGTCCCAGTTCCCAGTTTTCTCTAACATGTCATAATAATTTGATCACAATTGTCACTGTCAATGGAAATTTAATAAACATCTAGTTCTAGATGCTGTAATAGAGACATTAAAAAAGGACAGGGACCAGAGAGACTGGAGGCACACTCTGGCGACATGTTATCTTTTGACTGATCCGGTATTATCACCTTGGTTTTGTTACCGGAGAAATTGCAGGGTTCTTGTCTTCGCACAAGAATTCAGGCGTGAGACAGAGAGTAGTGGGAGGTAAAATAGCAAGGTTTATTAGGGAAGGGACATCCGTAAGGATGGATGGGCACCTCTCCAGACAGGACCCAGGAAAGAGTGCAGTCGCTCAGACTGGGCGGGCGGGGAGGATCTAGGTTACATGGTTCAGTGGAGTACACCTGGCCAGACCAGGCAGGCAGCTCAGCAGAGAGGCAGAGGGCTGAGCGTGCAGTCCGGTTGAGGCCCGGGGTTTTTAAGGAGATGGGTCTTTATCTTCACACATCTCCTCCTGAAACAAAGGATTTTATGGCTGCAAATATTAAGAACCTCCTATCTGAGTTTTCCCTTGAAGGTATCAGACAGGAGGAAGCCTAGCTAGTGCCATCCTGGGTTCAGAGGAAAGGTGAGCAGGACCCCCTAGAGAATGGGGATCTGGAGCAGGGTGTTTGAAATGCAGATACTGGGCTGCATCTGGGAGATTGTGGAAGATCTGTCAGGCAGAAGGGGCGGGGATCTCCACCTGGCAGGTTATCAGGTAGAAGGGGGCAGGGCAGAATGTGAATACGGGGCTGCCCCTGAAACATTGTCAGCAGATGCATATGCTGGACATAGATGTCTTCTCTTTATTCCTTTATGTCACACACACATAAGCTCATATCTGACTTCCTACCTAACAGTTTGAACTTAAGGGAATCAAGTATGAGTTTCACTTAATCTCTAGAGGCAGAAAAATCACAACTGGAACACAAAAATCAAGATTTAGTTTTGCAGGATTCCATAAATATTAAACTGTAGATTTCCCAGTCTTAAGCCAGCTTCATTTTAACTCAAGAGAGCACTTAGCTCTCACTAGAGAGGTGAAGACCCGCCAGTCCGCGAAACCAGGTGTGATTCTAGAAAGAAGCTACGTTCCTACGGCAACTCTTGACGCCATCTTGCTTTCCCGTTGGCGGCCTCCTGCCCTGACGTCACTTCCGGTGTCACCTGGCTCGTTCCCGGGAGCCGTAAACAAGGTGTGCAAGCAGCTGGAGCGCTGTCGGCATGCAGCAGAGGGGAGCGCCCGGAGGCCGCGGCTGCGCGCTCTCCCCAGTGCTGTGCGTTCTGTTCTTCCAGGGTGAGTGCCTCGGCTGGCCGCGCTCCACTTCCGGCCGAGGGGGTTAGGGACGTGGGTCGCCTTTCCGGTTCCGGGTGGGGGGGTCTCAGGAAACCCCCGCTGAGCTTGTGGCAGGAAGAGGAGGGGGAGGAGGGAGAGGACGTTCTCTGCTGAGGCGGGTTGCGCTTGAGCCCTTTACGGAGGCTGCGGGAGCCCGACCACCTTGCGGGATTCGGCGTCGTGTTGCCGTGACGCGCAGCTCGACGCGACCGCCGCGAGCTCTGGCTTTGGGGCGCTCGGGTTATCTTGTGATGAAATCGGTGGCTGATTGCTGTGGTCTTGTGCGCTGTCTTGATCAGAAAAAGGCAACTCTTGTAGCCAGTGGTTTGACCCGGTAATATGTAGGAGAGGAAACATGAACGTTGGTAATTTTATTTTTTGGGAGGATAATCGGGGCTATGAAATAAAATGTTTATTGGGCGCAGAAGGAATGTGATGTGATTTCATTGCAATAAAGAAACATTGTTAAGGAAAACAACCAATTTAGCATTTTAATGAAGGACCTGTCAACTGTGTTAAATTATTTTTTAATTTTGATTTTTTTTAGGAAACATCTTTACAGTCCAGAGGTCTTTATTTATTTTACACTAATTTATTATGCCATGAATTCATAAGGAATGGGTTCCAGGAGCTTAGTCTCCTTTGTGTTAAATTTTTAAATTTTAAACTAGTATCAGAAGTATAGTGTTTCTGTGATGTCCTAATCTTAAAATTTGAATAAGTTTTGCCTTAATACAGTTTTCAAATTGTATCCATTTCAGTCCAACCTAATTACCTTCATTTTAGGATGTAATTTTTCCTGGGTCTTGCATGAGTATGTATCTTCTTGGGAAATCAAGTATTAAAATAGCTAGCATTAAAGGGAATTGTGAACTTCATACAGTTTCCCTGTGGTTAATGGGGATTTCTGAAAGGGACTTAAATATTACATAAATGTAGACTTCAGATGTCCTAAATCTTCGCAGGTAAGACTGGGAAGTTTTTATTTATTTGGTGACTAATATTCTTGCTGCCAGCACACTCCTTGATACCTCCCAACTACTTGTGTCGTAAGTGTCCAGTTTTTCTGCTAGGTTCTTTTTGCAATATAGTATTTAGGCTGGCTTATGTGTCACTCCAAATAAGAGTTCTCTCTCACACATACATGGGAAATGTTAAAATCTTACCCTATAGGGAAAAAAAATCTAGAAATGGTGTTTTCTTCATTTCTCATTGACGACCACATGTCAAATCTGCCAGACCAAGTAATTCCATCAAACGTTAAAAGTTGATTTTATGATCTCTGTGTACTTGTTGAATAGATTTATCACCATTTAAGAAAGAATAGCTTTATTGAAATGTAACTCACATGCTATACAAGTTACCCATTGTAAACCACTGTATACGTTTCACTGGACTTTAGTATTCACAGAGCTATGAAGTCATTACCACAATCAATTCTAAAACTTCCCTTTCATTGTATCTAAGAGAAATCCTACACCCATTCCTACCTTCCCCCAGTAATTGCCAACTGGCATCCTCTTCCCATCTCTCTGGATGTGGCTGTTCTGCACATTTTGTATACATGGAATCATAGAACATGTACTTCTTTTTGCCTGACTGCTTTTACTTAATGTTCTCTCAAGGTTCATCCTTTTTTTTTTTTTTTTTTTTTTTTTTTTTTGTCTTTGTAAAAATTATTCCCCCAAATGTCCACAACGGCCAGGGCTCCAAAATCAGAGCCTGGAACCCAATCTGGGTCTCCTGTGTGGGTGGCAGGGACCCAAGTACTGAGCCATCAGCAGCAGCCTCCCAGGGTGCACATTAGCAGGAAGCTGGATTGGAAGCAGAGTGGCCGGGGCCAGAAGCAGGTGCTGTGATATGGGATCAGAGCATCCCAGGCAGCATCTTAGCCACCATGCCAAATGCCTGCCCCTGGTGTTACTTCTGAATTTGTTAGGTAATCGACTTTGGTTTCATACTAGTATTTATGTGCCTTTCCTCTTCTTAAATTATTAGCTTCCCCAAATTCTTTGTAAGTTATAAGTCTGGACCTGCTGTATCAGATGCCTAATTGTGTAGAAATGATAGACTAGACTAGGAGTCTTGGATTCGTACACTTTTTTATTTTTCATTTAAGTATATAATTATATGAGTCAAAGATTGGCAGTTTTCTTTTTTTAAAATGAGATCTTTCTTTTTTAAAGGATTTATTTGAAAGAGAGAGAGGGGAAGAGAGAAAATGAGAGAGAGAGATTTTCATTCACTGATTAACTCTTCAAATGCCTGCAACAGCTAAGACTGGGCCAGGCTGAAGCCAGGAGCCAGGAGCTCCTGCTAGGTCTCCTGCAGGGGCGGCGGGAACTCTACTTGGACCATCATCTGCTGCCCTCTTAGGCACATCAGCAGGAAGCTGGATCAGAAGCAAAGAAGCCAGGACTCCAGTGTGGGGTGCAGGCATCCCACATGGCAGCGTAACCTGTACCACAACTCCTGCCTTGGGCAGATTTATATTTTGGAAAATGGAGTATACAAAATTTGGATCTTTGTTTTGACACATTTAATTTCTTCCACGTGTTAACAGTGTCTTAGGTTAAACTGTTGTTTTAGATTAAAAAGTAGTTAATTATGAATATTTCAATAGTTGGCTATTTTTACTCAGCAGGTTTTTTTTTTTCCCCTCAGGTGGAAAGATATCTGTAAGGACCTTAGGCTAGGATGGAAGTTTCTGAATGAATTTAACATTAGTTTGGTAATTTTTCCCCCATTCTATTTTTATGAGTAGAAGAGACAAAACAGCTATATCCATTGATCTTAAGAGACTTTTAATTTCAATACAGTCTATATATGGGAAAGTACACATATAACAAGTATATAGCTCAATGAATTTTCAGAAATTGGACATAGCTGAATAACCAGCACCCAACTCAGGATATAGAATGTTCTTGGCTCCCAGAAGCCTTCACTGTGCTTCTCTCCGGCATCATCCCTGCTCCTTCAAAGGGACCCAACCTCCAGATGTCTGACAGTATAAACTAGTTGGGTTCACCCATGGATCATACTTGTCTGTAACTATGCATTTTTTTTTAAATTAAAAAGCTTCTTAAAAAATTATTTTCAGGGCCAGTGCTGTGGCATATAAGGT